TGCTGACATGCTGTGAGCACCCAACTATTTGTCTCTTAAAAGACTGGGTGGGCCTCTTCCGTATATGCACTAGACCCTGATCTATGCCCATAACACTAGGGCACAGTAAGTCTGGCAAACCTATCGCACAGGCATGGGGGCTGCCGACAGTTTGTGACTCACACCCTGCATAGATCTGGGTTAAAGAGAGGAACCAGGGGCACGTGGGCTGCAGGGGGAGTGTTTTTTCACTTTCCCTTCCAACCTCTCTTCTGCTTTGGCAATGTCCCTCACTGTAGCCCTGCATTATGGTTAGAAATACTGGTTTTGTGTCCATGCAAGCAGACCTAGCTGTAGGTGTTTCTATAATACCATTAGTGTGCAGAAAACAACCTTCCGTATGTCTTGTGAAGAACTGAGCTGTAATTGTCTGCGAGGGTGTCTCTTTAACACTGTGGACCTAAACAAGCTTCACTGGCACGCTACTGTCTTTATATAAAATCTCCTTACTGCTCATCAAATTGTCATTTGGTGAATAAGCTAATTCAGTTTCTCATATTATATTATAATCCAGTGGACAGTTTCAATGCACTGGGGTATGAGCACCTACTAACAATAGCTGACAACTGAATGCTACTCACTTGCAGAACAGCGTGGTCCTGATGTAGGCATTATAGAAAGGAAGTTCATTACTACTTAGCATGCAGAAGCCCCTAGTTTAGGAACCTTTACTCATGCTTATACCCTCCCACGGAAGCTTTGTGCCACTCTTCAAAGTTGTAGGCTCAGTTATTCACCGTTCCATCAATTTCGGTGAAGTTTGCTTAGTTCCATATCAAACCTATTTTATTTATGCCTATATTACTTGAGTTGATATCTAGGTGGTTTGTTGCATGCTAGAATAATTTACAGCGTCCTTTATGGGTTTTTACAACTAAGCTAATTCCTTATCTGTTTGTATCAAATCCTTCAAAGACTATGCCTGTGAAGTCAACTCAAAAATAGGTCCTGGTTAAAGGTAACTGGTTTTGCATTTATCAGCAATTAAGTTTTAAAAACAAGCTAGTTAGTTGGCCTCTGAAAATGCAAGTGGATTTGCCTTTAGGAAGTTGTTTGAGAAGGCTGTGCCAACTCTGTACTTCCCTAGGCTTGCTCATACTAGTGTTCTCCAGCAAAGTAATTCAAAAAATGTATTGGGCAGGTTTTTCATAAATCTATTCAGCCCAATTAGAAGCTTCACTTAATGGAGCAATGTATAAATAGTGTGGAGAGTCAAGTGACCATCAGCTGGTCTGAATGGGTTTGACCACTACAGTCACAGGGTCTAAGGTATGCAGGAGCTGGGATCACTGAAAACATGCTTTGCTGCAGAGATATCATGGCTCTGGCGTAATTATGTAACTGCAGAGGAATTCATGTGTGTAAGGGTGTTTTAATTAGACACCTGTATTTATTGTTGGTTTCTCCTTCTGTATCATTACTGTGGGCTTTCTGTGAAAAAAAAAAAAAAGTTACTGCCTTGGTTAACTTACCCATTTCATTAAGTAATGTGTATTGCAATGCACAGCTGAACTCCACAATTATGTATTTCCTTTATAAAGTGTATGTCTACTTGGTTGAAACAGTGCACTGATCTGTTTTGCCGAATTCAGAACTTAAGACATAATGGCTCTTTGCCTAAGTTCATATTAGGTAATTGGAAGTTCTTGGCATGCTTGGTAAATACTGAAATTCCATTGTATTGTGCATTAAGCATAGAGAAATATTTCTTCAATTGCAGTGCCAGTGCACTGAAATACAAGCATTTTGGCTGTCCCTGGTGATGGCTTTATTAAATCTTTGTGAAGCTGTCAGCTCTGAACTTGCAGAGATGCTGGCTTGCTCTCTGCTTGGGAAGTTACTGAAGCCAACATCCAGGTAATGATTTCTTTATTGAAAGCATACCCCTGTTCTGTTTATAAATATGACAATATGGATTCGAAGCAAGCTAGTGTAATAGCATCTATTTCTTTGTGTTCAATTCACTTGACACATGGCAGTGCTGTCCAAAACAAGTAAGATTACCAAATTCAGTAACTTAATAGGAAGAACTATTGTTCAAACCCAAGTAACTGGTATTTCCCTTCTTCTTTTCCCACCTTCCTTGGTCTTTATACAGAATAGCTTTTGCCCTTTTTCATTACAGATTTTAATGATTGTCAGTGTCATCCCTGTCCTTATGTGTTGTTCCATGATGTGACTCCCACAGGAAAGCTGGTTAAGGACCTGTTTGTTCTCTTCCCTGTCAATTCAACAGCTAGGCCTTTGATTAAAAAATTGAGTTACTGGCTTTATTCAAACTAGAAACAAATATGGTGGTGTATGTATCAGTTACCTTTCTTGCCTTAATTGATCTACTTAAAGGTCATTCATTCAATCACATTAAACATATCTTGATTCAGCAAGTAAAGGTAGGAGTCTGTTAGGAGGTGATTCACAAGTGTTCTAGTCACCTGCCTTTGTATTTGGTGTGCAACACAGATCCAAGTAGGGGTTTTTTTTAACTTTACTTGGTCTGCTGATGGGCACATTTGCCTCCTACATTTTTGGCAATAAACCTTCATATTAGTACAGTTCATCAGTGTCAAAAGCTTTACCTTTTGGTTTTATAGGTGACAGATGGTGGGTTTTTTCTCAGTAATTTGATTTTTCTTGCTTTAATGAATCAGTAAGACTTCTGTCTGCACAAACATCAAACCCAGTCACTGCTCAACTGGATCTGAGGATCCATGACCCAGGCTTATGGTACAGCTTGAGACTTCATCTTGCATATGTGCAAAGAGCTTCTGCATCTCTGAGGTGTTGACAAACCACCTCCCTTTCCATTCCTGCAAGAGCTCCAAACTTAGTGATTAAACCCTTTGTCTTATGGGGGTTTTCACCTTTTCCTCTAGTGGGTGCATATGCACACACGCACACACCCCATTACTTCGATGGTCTCAGGGTGGTAAAGAAATGCTGCTGGGCAGCTGCGCCTCAGCACTGCTGGCCTTAGAGGGAGGGTGCTGTCTGGGTTCAAGGCTCTGTTCCTCCTTCTGCTTAATTTGTTCCTCTCACAGTGGCAGGGGCCTGGCTAAATCTCACACATGACTGAATAGTTGATGATAAATCAAAAGTTTTAAAATGAAAATAAAATTTCCTAATTTAAAAATAACATTTGTAACACCAAGAGTCTTGTCTGCTGTCTGAGCCTCATGGCCTCTCCTTGGAGGCACAGTGTGCTTTCTCCAGCTTATTCTAGAGCCCGCTTGGTTGACGATCAGAGGGGAGATGTTCCCTCTGACCTCCCTGAGTGGCCATGGGCCAGAAGTGCCCATGGTGGAGAAGCTCTGTCCCCATATGGGGACAGGGTAAGATGACCCTTGACTCCTGCATGCTGCTAGGTCCTGTCTGAGAGGGAAGCTGGAAGTGTTGCCTGCTCTGAGGTTGGGGTTGGCCGGCCTTAGGCTGCAACACGGCAGCAATATAGTAGAGGGTTATGTTGGCTTGTCTTGAGGAGGATTGAAGCCAGGGAAGTGTAAAAGTGTTGCCTTCAAAAGGAGGGAGAAGTGAGCAGGTTGCAGTAAATGAATTGTGCAAGTTACTGAGGTGGGTTCTCCAGCAGAGAAAATGCCAGTTTGTTTCCCAGGTTCAGTGCTGCTGCTGTCGTGCTTCAGCATTACATACTTACTCCTGGCGAACTTCTGTCAGTTGTGCAAGTCCCGAGGTTAGCATAGGTACTGTAAAGGGATTAAATAATGTTGATTCATGCTTAATAAATGCTGTTTGTGAAACTGTTGTGGAAAAGTTCATCAGGGCATGCATGCATGTACCTCTTGTGCTTTTCTTACAGTGGAAGGTGTAACAGCAGCCACTCTTTTCCAGAAGTATTTGATAGCAAGCTGTTCCAGTTATTTCCTTTACAGTAGATCAGCCTTTAATCACTGATGATATTGATATAATCTAGCCCAACATTAGTGGTAAAACTGTTCTAAAAAGTTAAGTGATTGAAAATAGGTAAAAATGCTCTTACAGTTAGTTATGGTACTGTGTTTAAAAAAAAACCCCATACTTGTCAGGCCAGTGATAGTGTTAAAATAGTCTGTCACTAAAGCTGAAAGTCTTGCCAGTTCCCAAATGTTTTATCTAAATGCTTGAAATGTTTAATAAGCAGTTCTAATCTGATGGCTATTTTTTTTTTTGTCTTTACTGGCTTATTTCTTGCAATGTAAAATCTTAATGCTTACTCAAAGACTTCAAGAAGTTACGTAGAGTATATTTCAGTCACCACTGGAAGGCCAAGCTAGGCATGTATCCACTGGGATTTTTTTCACGTGTGCTGCGCTATACCATAGCTGTTCCAGAGCTGGGATTCCTTCATTTGACACTAGAGATGAAAGGATTTCAAATCACCAAGAATGGGAGCTTTTATGCGAAGACTTAGAGTGCTGAACTGGTTTCTAACAGAAGACAACTCTAAGCATCTCCCTTAGTTCTCTCTGCTAAATTATGTAGGAAGTGTGTTTTTTCTCACTGCAGCATGGGACATATTTTCCCATTTCAGGATTACCTCTGTGCCTTTAAGTTTACTCTTATTTACTGAATGCCCCTTCTGACGGGATAAGAACAGCCTGGTTTTGAATAATTCACAGTTTCTTGTAGAATATTGTTAGAGGATTAAGGAGAAACTTAGTGACTTCAGTTCTACTGTTACACTCCTTCACGTTTGTGAACATTTCTTATCTGATTTTGGGAGCAGGTCTTTAATACTTTGGAATGAAACAGGCTATTTCAGAATAAAGATATAGGAACACTGTGAGTACTGGTTAATTATAAAAGCTAATGGCTGCATACCTGAGGTGACTGTTCTGGCAACACACTTTTCTGTTTACTGTCTGCAAGAAATCTGTGTCATATCAACTGTAGAAAAAACTTTATTTAAGAAGGCTTATCTACAGAACTGTTTTGTGTACTGATTTCTTTTTTTCTAATTGTTTCTGCAGGTCGTATTGGATTAATGCTGTGGATCATTCAACTCAGAACCTGTAGTTGCCCATCAATCGCTCAGTAGTCAGTGTAGATTCTGTCTTTACAATCAGCAGCTACATCTGGCTACTGGGTCTCTGATGACATCTCGTATCTTCTGTCTAGACTTTTTGTTGGATTTTTATCTTCACTCCTGGGTGCAGAGCAAGTTCACAGTGCTAACAAATTAACATCTGAGGTGTGGCCCCAAATAAAGGATTGGATATCTTTGGATCTGCTTCACAGTGGGAATCAAATTAGATACCTGGATGTTGTGTATTGTAAAGCAAGAGTCTTTTCTGTAGCCTAGTCTTGGTGCTTGTAGTAGTCAAAACGAATGAGAACATTTGCAAATTTTGAGCAAAGATATTTGGACTTCACTTTTTTCAATGAAGAATCTTTAACTTCTGAAAAGAATAGGTATTGAAACAGGCACCTTGGCTGATCACATGACTACTACACATTAGGGGAAGAAACATACTATGACCTAGGATGTGCACAGCTGTTTTTTATCGATTGTTTGGGAAGACTGTCCAGGTTTGGGGCATGAACCTGGCATACAATGTAGATTTCTGTGTTTGTTAAGCAACAGCTACATTGTCTGCTGGGTTTCCAGCTGCCTGGAAATACAAAATGGAGGGTTATCTACACTTTTTTTGGTCAAGTTACCTGCCTTATACCTCTGAGGAAGACAATGCAATTGATGTCCAATTGCTGCCTCCCCCTCTGTTCTCACACAAGGGATCCAGCTGGTGTCAGCTAGAGGTTGGAGCCAGAGCAGATCTGAAACTAGTTAAGAAAAAAAGTTCAAGGGATTGAAGTGTTCAGACACCTGAGCATGAGTAGCTGTCAGGAAGAAGCTAATGCATATTGCCTGTGTAACCATTAGTTTGTCTTGGTAATGGTGCTTCGCTTTTTTTTTTTACTTCAGTTGGAGAGCTATATCTGTGTGCTGTACAGTCAGGGAATTCTTTTTGGAGAACGGAGTAGTGGGGAGCTATTTATAGGTCTGACTTTTTTTTTAAAAAACATGTGCTTCACATAGCATGGTTTTATACACAGAAAGTGCCTAGAAATAATTGGGGAGGAATAACAATGTCTTGAGTGCTGATACCAGCTGGATCTCTTGTTTCTTTAGCGGTACCAAAGCTAGTGTGTGTCATTTGTGCACTGTATCTAGCCACTCAGTGACAAACAGGCAGTTTCCATTGGAGATTAGGGCCTGGAATAGCAGGGGACTGTTGTCCTTTCAGATCTGGACTACAGTCACAGTAGTAAATGGGGAAGCTGATACAGCATATGTCTGTACTGTTAACCCTTCATTGGCAAGCTCTGTGCCGTTTGCACTTTCACCGTGGAAATTGGGAGAGTTGTGATGGCCACTCGGTGAAGGAAGATACGATTTGATTAAGCTTGTCTGTCTGTCTGGACTATATATGGGTGGTTTTAGATCAGCAGGCATCCAGAACTCTTCCTCATGAAGGGAATGCCTCAGGAGGCAGAAGGGTATCTAAGTGAGTACTGCTGTTAAAAAACTGCTTTTGTTAAAACAAATAAAACTTCTTGTGCAAAGAACTGTGTGTCTCTTCCTGTTTCCTGTATCAAACTAGTTTTGCACTAAGTCTGGTAGGACCTAGGGAATATAAAGCTGTTCATTATAATGTTTCGTGTAGACAGCCCCTCAATACTTGCGTCAGCCTGACTGTGCTCAAGAAATACGCATTAGCTTACGCATTCCTACATTAAGTAAAAATGTACAGACAATTGCCTACAGCCAATAGTTGGCACAAATAATCACTCCCCATTGAAATAATTGTGGATTGTCTATATAGCTTTGAAAGCTTCTTGTTAAGGTTGAACAAGTGTTTGTCCTTTTGGTTTATATGTTGTTTTCCTCAATGCCAATCTGTTGGCTTCTAGGTCTCTGACTTTGCAAAATTGGTAAAGACTTAGATATAGCTGAGTCTTTTTCCTAAATTAGCTGGCGCTTTCCCAGTGCTGTTACTGATGTTTCATTCCATATAGCCTCCTGAGTTTTGACCAGCATATGCACAACAGGCATAAAAATGGCAATGTATTACTCTGCAATGTTGCTGTGGCTCATTTAGCTTCAACAGTATTAAGATATCAGCAGTTTTTATAGCATTGCTTTGTTCCTGTGTTTATAGTTATTCAACTCAGCTTTTAAGGATTCATGTCAGAATAAGGTATGTCTACGCCAACTGTTTATACAGCAAGCACCATAAAGCAATTCAAAAGCAGATCAACCTAATGTTTAGCATCAAGCCCCTCCCCTATCCAGTTTTACTTCCCCACTGTGTTTCAGTTAAACTTACGATGTTGAAATCCCCTTTGTGGGCAGGTACTTCTGGTTCCTTTTATTTTCTGTCATGCTACTTGCTTTTGTATACAGACACCTTTTTTTAAAAAATAAAACACCAAAAAACAAACAATAACACACACCCCGTCATCTGCCTTATTCTGAGGTTCTTGCTTTATTTTGTCTGATGTAGCTGATAGAAGCACGTAAAAGTGGTTACTCTCCTGTGATATTTTTTAGTTCTTTGTTCTTTCTCTTCTGTATGGCTTTTGGTGACACTGGTAAAAATAAAAGCCTGTCCCTTCTCCCCCACTAGGGGTACAGTTACTAGTCCTGATTAAACTGCTGCTAACAGCAGCCTGACGTTGTCCTTCCCCTTCAGTGTAAGAAACCGGATACTGTGACATACCGTTTTCCATGTATTCAACCTTAGTGAGGTTCTCAGAATTTTCCTTTTTTTTGAGCTTTCACTCCCAACAGTAACCTTGGCCACGTTTTTATGATGCTTCTACGCTGTGATGCTCATGAGTGTGAGGGCTGACTTAGGGTGGGTGCTGTTTCTCTGAAGGGAAAGTGAGACCAAGGCTCTTGCCTGGCTGGAGCTGTCCCTCTCACCACAGCATCTCTGAAGCCAGATCAAGGCAGTAAAGGCTGAGAACACAACTGCTAAATTACTCAGCTATATCCCTTCTCCAAAAGGCAGAGCTTGGTGTTCAGACTTGACTTTTCTTTTTTCATTCCTGTACAATTCGCTAAACAAATAATGGGAACTAAGACAACAGCAGTAGTTGGATCTGTTTGGACTAGTAGATTGGAGAAGATCACAGTACTTCAATAATTTTGTATTTTCTGTTGTGTCTCAACTTACCAGTGTGGGAAGATACTACATATTTCTTCTAGTCCTCTGACTCTTTTAGAATTGACTTGAATATCTATTTAAATCTTAATACTAGGAAGAACAATATTTTTATTTTCTGGCTCTAGATAACTACTAGAAAAGCATCACTGCCTACTGTTTCTCTATTCTGTGTCAAATACTTCTGTGAACTTTAAGCTGTATTTTATTGGCTATGTTTACTCTTTCTACGCAAATCAAGGTTCAAAGAACTGAAAGGATGCATCTAGTCTGGCCTTGATGCACTTACACCATACGCTGCTGTATCAGTACATGGTAGTGACACACGTGTTCTGTAAGTTTCTTCAGGAAAAAAAAAAAAAAACTGGAGTCACTAAGTTTTTAAAATGTCAATGACATTTAAAATGGGGAGGGGACTTATGTGCATGTGGGGGGGGTGTTTTATTAAAAAAAAAGGAAAGCCCATACTTTAAATAGAATGGAATAGTGAATGGCTTGCTTTAATTGTCCAGAAATGTAAACGTTCATTCCCAGTGGCAGAGCTGCATCTATTAGGCAGGTGGCTTGTAATTAAACTGTGGAAACCTCCTGTAATTTGGACCTCTGTTGCAGTCCTGAATAACTGAGCAGATTCTGTCTTGTCCACAACTGCTTTTGGGGGCTCTTTGGTCGATGGGGGCTGACTAAGCTGTGACTATCTTCCCAGCTCTGCTCAGCACAAAGGAATTCCTAGAGGACCTACCTATGGAAGGTCAGGGTAGAAGGAAGGTTTTGGCGCAGTCTTTTTGGAAACCTTCTAGCAGGTACCTTTTCTTTCCCTCAGCATGACCAAGCAGTTTTGCAAAGGCATAAACACACTGGCGACTCCTCACCAGAAATACACTATTAATAATGTACTTGGGTGTTTGACTTAAATGATGGTGTGATTGTGCATTTTTCCTCCATAAATTTTACTTTCTTTGGAGTTAACAGTGAAAATTGATCTTCTGAAGTGGTGTTTCAGGCAATATGGGCAGCCCAGGCACCTCTATTGTATCTCTCTGGGCCTTTCACGTAGGGTCATCACACGAGCCCTCTATGACAGAAGTGCTCGTAGGCAGTGCTGCAGCACTGGTAGAGCCTGTCTGCCAGCGGGTTGTTTATACTGTGACATGTTGACTTTTACAATAAACTGGAAAACCACCTTGGTTGTGGGTTTGCAACACAAAGCTCCGCTACAGAGGTGTTAAGCTTGAGTGGTCCTTGGCATGGGAGACCCCACAACTTCCAAATCTATCCTGTCCGTGGCTAGCCAGCTAGTCCGTGGCCAAAATTGTAAAAGGCCTTGAGATCCATTTTAATATTGACATTTTCTTCTTGCTGTATGGCTTACAACTTCTAGTGGTACTTCAAAGAAGATGCCGAATTGTTTTAGGAGATGAGAGGAACACTCTTAATTTTAAGGAAGTGGCACACCATTGCTTGGCTGATACGATAGTGGGCTGTCTGTGAGCAGTAAGTTTTAGTTTGTAGGCTTTGAAGGACAGTTGCTGCTCCTACACATGAACAAACTTTATTTTTTTAAGTTGGTAATTTTTCTAGCTACTCAAAGTTTTGTTCTGTAGGTTGCTAAGTAACACCCGCACATACTCGATCTTCCATGTGCTCTGAATGCCAGTCTTCCATGCAAAACACCTTTCCAAAATTAGTGTCTGTCAAGCTCCTGAAAGGTAGTGGTGCTGTGATTCAAGTCAATCATGCTGCTGTAGGTGTTAATTCTTCCATCTAAAGACACTTGCAGAATCACTAATATGGTGAATATCCAATTCTTTTTTAGCTGAAAGAAAACAGTATCTTCTGAAACACTAATTCTGAAAAAATAAGTAAATTGCAGGGGGCACACTGATAATATCAATTTGTTTGTTATGGTGATAATACAACTTTTTAAAGCTTAGTTTTATTCAAAGTGCAGAGTTCTGAAAGCACCTGGGCTGAATCGTTAGGTAGGTAGTTTTCCTGTGCCCCAAGGCTGGCCAACCAATACCTGAATGGGTGCTGAGGACTTTAGG